AATGAGACTATTCAAGAAATCAAAAAAAAACTGGGTCAGTTGTTTTACCGACAATAAGAAACCTGGTAGTGGTTTAGTATTGGATTATTTGCCTCCTGAAAATAAAGACACTGTTACATTCAATGATGAAGAATGGAATGAAGGGGTTTCTATGTGGCAGTTCTCTTTGGTTGGACAAGTTCTTGGTTTGAATGCCAAATTTAAGGCTATGGAGATATATGTCCAAAAATTATGGTCTAATTTGGTAATTCCTGAAATCTGCTTTCTTAAACCTCGGATCTTCTTGTTTAAATTTAAAAGCAAGAAAGAAATAAATGAGATTTTAGAAAATGGTCCATGGTTCTTTAGGTCTCGTTCTCTCTCGTTGAAGCCCGGGTCAATTGGAGAGGATTATGAAAAAAATAAATGAATGCATTTACCCTGTATGGGTTCAATTACCAGCCCTTAAGCTAAATCCGTGGAATGCTAAAAATATCAGTAAGATAGTTAGTGTCATTGGTCGTCCTGTTGTCACTGACAAACTAACAGCAAATAAGCAAAGATTAGCTTATGAAAGGGTGCTTGTGGAAGTATCTATGCCTGCAGATCTACCTGATTTTATTATCTTACAAGGCCCCGATGGAAAGAAATTTAATCAAAGAGTGATATATGAACTGAAGCCTAAATGATGCAATCAGTGTAAACCGGTGGGGCATGAAACCAAGTTTTGCAAAAAAGTTCCATGGGTTCAAAAAATGGATTCCAAAAACAAATGTTTCAGCTGGGCATAATGTGTAGGTTGCAAATTCAGCTGGTGCAGGTTGTAAATAAAGTTTCAGAATGATTAACAGGAGATGACGAATCCAAATTAGAAGCTCTTAATCCAATTTCCAGAACCCCCCCCCCCCCTTTCCCCCTCACCCCCCCCCCCCCATTTCCCCCTTTTTTCTTACCATTTTTTAAGGCGGGGGAGCAAGTTAGCAAGAAGATATTCACCTGCTAACATGCACTAAAAAAACCACCAAAAAGTTGTTAAACTTTTATTCAATTTATTCTAATTGCATTTAAATTTCTCTATTTTGTTGAAACTCCCTGCAAGAAATTCAATTCTAATATGAGTTTATGTTCTGAATGTATTTGATAAGTTACACATATGTTTAAGTTGCAAAATTTTGAGCTAGACTTGGTCACTGTCAAAGCTCTAAGATCATTCCAGTTGTTTTATGGCTATTAATTTTTTTTTACAGATTTTACCTACCACTTTAGTTAGCGCATGATTTTCTCATATGATAATCATATGCCCTTTTTCCATTATTTTATAACCACTGATATCCCATTATTATATACGAAATAATTAGAAAATCAAGTTCACTATATTATTTTTAACCACAGATGAGAACTAGGACATATGTCTTTCAAGAATGGAGGAATTTTCTTAAGTACCTTGAAGGAGCGACGAAGCCAACATTAACCATATGCAAGATCAATATAATTCTTTTGCATTTTACTCTCTTTTCCCACTACTTAAAGAACAAGTATTTCTAGATAATCCTGTTAACTATAAAAAACATCAGATCATGTTAACTATTACATATCAGTTACTTTTTTAGCCTTTTTGTTAGCTCGATGTAAGTCTGTACAAAATCAATATAAACTAAATTCATATACTATATGCTTTTTTTTTTGCTTTGATACTCTTTAAACTTAGCAGGAAAATCTATCTTAATGCCATCATGAGTTTATATAATTGTAATATAGTGTCACTCGGAAGTGCTTATTTGTTGAAAGAACTCATTCTTTATTGTCATTCACTATAGGTTTGTGTTGTCTATGATTTTAGAATTTTTATATTTTATTTGAATATGCATTGAATTTATAATACAATGTGACTATGAATTGTGTTTTCTGATCTTTGATACTGATATCATACATTAATCCTTATTATATTTTGTGATTAAGTAATCTTTATAGTTTCTCAAATACATGTGCTGGCCTGTGAAAGTTATCCATATAATATAATTGATTATTTTTATTACAAAGAAATTAGGTTTCATACGATATAAGTATTTCTAATTTATTTTGCATTTCAGTTTAGATCCTTAGCAAAAGTAGAGAAAATTTGCATTTAAGCATAAATGCATTCAATTGAAACTTAACAATAGTTCTTTGAATTAAGAACGATGCTGAAATTAAGAAAGACAACAAAAAGTGTTATAACAGCAGCGCAAATGATGCATGAAAATATGTACACATAAAACAGACCAAAAGATTGATACCAGCACGTGCTTTGCACGGGATAAGTACTAGTTGAGACATAAAACAGGAAAAGTAATGTTACAAGTATTGTAGCACGTGCTTTGCACGGGATAAGTACTAGTTGAGACATAAAACAGGAAAAGTAATGTTACAAGTATTGTAGAATAGAGTTTTGCTATTTGGCACGCAAGTTGAGACATAAAACAGGAAAAGTAATGTTACAAGTATTGTAGAATAGAGTTTTGCTATTTGGCACGCAAGATGGACGCACATCTCATCTCGCAGTAGAGAACAGGGGTGGGACCCACATCTTGTTGTGGGTCCCACCCCCTGTTTCTCCTACGAGATGGGCTGCGCGCCCATCTTGTGTGCCAAATGACATTTTCCTGTAGAATAAGACTAGTGTGCGCCCCGTGCGAAGCACGATCTCCCCTTTTTTTCACCACAGTAATTCCATTTTTTAAATGATACAATGATGTTTTTAAATGATACAGTAATATATATTTCAAAAATGCTACAATATTTTTTTTAAAAAATACTACAGTATCCCGTCTATGCTACAATAATGTTTTTTTATTTGCGATAGTAATAATTTATTTGGATGCTACAGTAATATTTTTAAATGTTATATATTAATTATTTTTTAACAATGCTACAATATTTTATATTTTTTGATGCTACAATAATATTTTTAAATATTATATAGTAATAATGTTTTAAAAATACTATAATAATTTATTTTACTATTTACTATAGGCTAAATACCCATATTGGTATTTTAATTCAACCCCATTTCCCAACAAGGTATTTTAATTAGGAAATTCGGCGATAAGACATTTTAATTGAATAAAATTACCATTTAGGTCTTTTTTCTCGTCGGCGGCCACTTTTCCGGCGAGAACTCATCACGTGCGTTGCACGTGGGGGATTAATATGTGTTTAAGATGCTGATGTGGCTCTGTTTTCTGATATGACTTTCTTTCTGATGTGGCTCAGGCTTAGGGTTACGGCGAAGAAAAGGCGGAGGGATCCGAGCAGATCCGGCGGCGGCTCCGCCCGAAAGATCCAGAGGGAGTGCGTGAATTCGGTGAAGAAGCTGCAGAGGCGGGAGATCGGAGGGTTTCCGAGGATGGCACGCGGGGCTTCCTCAAATGCCCCTGAGAAGTTTCGGAATATCCAGCTCCAGGTCAGTTCTTTTCATCTGTTTGATCTTGGGTTTTGTGTTGATTGGGAGAATAAGGGTTTGAATTTCTTCTGCTCCTCGAAGGAGACGGTGCCGAGAGCCATGGATTCGAGGAGATTGAGGTCGGCACTGGAGGAGGATATGCGGCGATCGAGGGACTGCAGGAAGGTGGAAGCAGCGGAATCTGAGGGGAACGGGCCTCCTTTGGATGGAATCGGAGAGAGCTTCAGTGGAGGAGTCGAGGTGGTTGCAGAATGTGGCCAGGGATCCGCAGAAGGTGGAGATGGCGCTCTCCATTTTTGCTTTGAATTTTGGAGCTCGAGGGGCGAAGAGCTCAGGACCGCCGGATGGTACTTCAACGAGGAGTTTCTTTTTTATTGGCTAAACACATATTAAAATATCAGCATGGGGTGGTAAGAACCGTTGAAAGGTTTTTCATACAAAATCAATATAAACTTAATCCCCCACATCAGCATCTTAAACACATATTAATCCCCCACGTGCAACGCACGTGATGAGTTCTCGCCGGAAAAGTGGCCGCCGACGAGAAAAAGGACCTAAATGGTAATTTTATTCAATTAAAATGTCTTATCGTCGAATTTCCTAATTAAAATACCTTGTTGGGAAATGAGGTTGAATTAAAATACCAATATGGGTATTTAGCCATTTACTATAGCATGAACAATGTGTTATTATGAAAAACCTTTCAACGGTTCTTACCACCCCATGGCTTTTCTTGTTTGATCGGCTCTCGAAGAGCCACGTGTCCGATACTGTACCAAAATAGCCACGTGGGGTAGTTGATCCCTTCATTAGAGTATGACGAGGTTGTTTCCAGATCGGACAACGACGACGCGACGCAGCATATTCTGCTGTACTCAAACTTCGACCTCTGCAGTTAACTCCTTCATCTCTACCGTTGGTTTTCCCGTTTAGATCAAATTCAACGGTAGATTTGCACTGCGTGTGAACAGCTTATGGGTCCGTGGCATCTATCCTTTACTTTATCCGGAGCCGACATCCTCGCTAACAGTGTCCAAAATACTATACGTGGCGAGATCCCATTGCTTTGTTAGTCCTGTCAACTACCTGGACGGAGGGACTGTACTGGTTAACTCGTAGGAAGAGACGCGGGTATCCGCGCTCACCGACTCATATATAATACAAATTAATAAAAGACAAATTTTCAATTTAGCCCAATTTCAAAATTTATTCTTAAAAATAATTTATTTATAAAATATTTATCAAATTCTACTTAGTTTTAGCCAACTGAGTGAAACCGGGTCGAATTTGATAAAAAAATTTATACCCCTCTTAAACTTAATTATCTGACGTTTAAACTGCATAAGATTTGAAATTCCGTGAATTTTTGTAATTTTTTTTTTCACCAAATTTGACCCCAGTTCAGCCCAACTAGCTGTGAGTCCCACCACTGTGCCACTCCCTTGCTTGCTATTTGCGAGACAAATAACATTTTTTGTTTTTTAGCCAGCGAACTGATTTTACGGAAATCCCGTGACGCGGCACCCTTACCCCTTCCACCGCCTAATTCCTCCCTATAAATACCCCCACTAACCGGACACCCTTATCATCACCACGAAGAAGAAAACACAAATAAATAAATAAATAAGAAATGGCAGGAATCATTCACAATATGGAGCAGAAATTGGGAGTGGGAGGAGGAGTCGACCACAAGAAAGAGGGAAAAAAGCACCACAAAGTCGAGGAGAAGAAGCAGGTCAAGAAGCACGGTGAAGGCGGCGGCGTGATGGACAATATCAAGGGCAAGATCTACGGCGGCGGCGGCATGAAGAAGCACGAGGAGGTCAAGAAGCACAAATTGGGAGTGGGAGGAGGAGTCGACCACAAGAAAGAGGGAAAAAAGCACCACAAAGTCGAGGAGAAGAAGCAGGTCAAGAAGCACGGTGAAGGCCGCGGCGTGATGGACAATATCAAGGGCAAGATCCTCGGCGGTGCAGCGTGATGGATAATATCAAGGGCAAGATCCCCGATTAGACGATCCATCGGTTGATCTGTTGCCGTAAGTTGATCCATCTGTTGCCGTAAGTTCTTTTTTTTTATTGTCTTTTTTTGTTGATTTTTGTCAGTTTTTCTGATTTTTTTTTTCTGGTTCGCTGTTGATGCAGGTTGTGGAGATGTGTGGATGCTGGGGTGCTTAATTATATGGTGTTAATTTTCTTAGTGTCGCTTTTGTCATGTAATGATGATACTCGATGAATAAGAAGTTACTACTTTTGTATGTTTTGGGATCCGATCGACTTTACCTGGCACCAACTCAATTTCTGGTAACACTGCGAGGATGTCCTCACATCGATCAGCATAAAAACTTGAATTTTATAAGAGAGATCCTTTACACTTAGAAAAATTCCTCAATAACTCAAAATATGCGAGTAAGAGGGGGAACATGTAAGGTAAAACCCTCTTGAACCGATGATTATCAGATCATTATATAATAGGAGGTGAACATCTCACCTGACCTTCCTATTGGTCCTATATTTTGGATGCATATAGCAAAACCCTTGGACTTGGCATAACACAGAAACAAATCTTCCATCTTAATGCTTAAGCATACACGAAGATAAAGTAGTTAATCCCAAACTAATATAAATAAAACATTTTAAATAACAAAAAAAATCGCTATCAATAATCTTTGTACAGATGAGCAGAAAAAAAAAATGAAAAAAAAAAATCTTCTCGTAGGTACGTGTGACTAGAAAATTCCTCCAGGATTATACAAACATGTAATGGTTAAAATTTGAATCATACCTCTTTATTATTATAATGTTTGACGACGGAAATAAGCAAATGTCATCATTAATTTACTGTCTTCCTTACAAGATTATTAGATTAACCATCTGACGACGAGTGATTTTTCGCTCCTAAAACACACAGATCCACACTAACGACAAGGCAGACGTAAATAATTGAAAAGCTCGCAAATTATTTTTCTTTCCTTCAAAGTCCTTCTCGATTTTTTTCGTGGAGCATATTTTGTCGAGTGAGAGAGCGTGAGATAATTTTGCTATGAATTCGAAGTTGGAATAAAAGATGAAGTCGGCCCCCTCACTATATCACTAGAACTGGATGGACTTTCTTCATGAATTGCTTTTTTCATTTTCTTATTTTCAGCTTCGGCCATACTAATTCCTATGTTTCATTGATAAAATATTAGTATAACAACAATAATTTAGGTATTCAAAAAACCAACTTCCAGGAAGTCCTCAAAATTCAATTCCATTTAGGGGCTGTTTGGTTGTTTACCGAAAAAACCGGAAATGGAAAACTCACATTTCAACTGATTTCAAGAGATTTTAAGATATTTCCCGTATTTTTTATTTGTTTCGCAATGAAATCACCGTCACGATACATAAGAAACAAATCCAGCCGCAATAGTAACAGTGTTTCGATTTTTATTTCTTGTGTTTGTTTGAACATAAAAAAAAGAAATGAAAATCAGCCGTAATATATAGTAACAATGTTTTTAACAATTAAATAATATGTTTTATTCACTGTTTCAACAGTGATTTTAGTAATTAAAAATTTATTGAAGTGACATTTTCAAGTGTTCTCAGAGGTTTTTGATGTGAAAACAATTTTCTTAAAAATCTGATGTGACATCCTACGTGGCACCCTAATTTCTTTAAATCACAAAACAAAACAAACATGTGATTTGAAAATCGGTTCAAATCAAAATCCTACGTGGCAGGGGGGATTTCTTGAAATTTGACGTGGCAGAGGGTTTTCTCATTTTTTAGCAAACAAACAACCCCTTAACCAATCTAAAGATATTTGAAGAGTACTCTAGAAAAAAATTACAAAAAATTGGTATTGTTGAAAATTGAGGTTAAATGTGGAATGAAACAATGAATTAGATGTGCTGTATTTTTAAACTTTTTCAGTTAACTGCTGTGCGTTATAGAAACGCTACGCTTAAAGCAATATTTGGCCTACTCCGGTGCAAGGATCCCAAGGCCAAACTGCTTCCAAGAACAGCAGTGCAATACTCTGGTGTGCACCAACCCAGTATTATCAAGATCTCCTCGATCTATAAGACATTTCGGTCTAGGCAAAAGATCTCATCGATCTCAGAACATTTCGGTTCAAAACCTTTCGGTTTAAGACAAGTTCCTGCAGCAGCAGCACAGCACCAACAACGTCGGGATCGACGTTCGTATTCCAGCACGCGACGTTCGTGTTCCACGCAAGCGAGAGGATTTTTAGCTCTCGACGTTCGTATTCCACGCTCGCAAGAGGATTTTCTAACCTCAACCAAGAGCTGCCAAAGGGCGCTATTTATAGGCCTCTAAGCCAGCTCAAGAGTCACTAACAATTAATGTGACTGTTACAATTCTTAATGACAATTAAGATTATAACATCAATGCATTAAATTGCTCTTAATGTTGTTGTAACCGCTGCATGCATTAACTCCTGAATACAAGGCAATCAATGGACGCATTGCTACAAAACGCGAGGGTCACGTCTTAACAAAGCAGACGAACCTCGTTTGACAAACGAACGTCGTCAAACAGGCGAACCTCGTAGACGAACCTCGTCAACAAGCGAACCTCGTATGACAAACGAACCTCGTCGAACGAGCGAACATAGTCAAACAGGCAAACCTCGTATGACATACGAACCTCGTCGATCGAGCGAACCTCGTCAAACTACGAGAACGCTAGGGTCACCACGTGCGAATACGCAGCTCGTCCGCATGCTGCAAAGTAGCCTGCGAGGCAACCTTCATGGCGACCATAGTGGCAGGCAATGTGGCGCCAAACAGCGCCACCTCGCCCCGATGCATCCGTGCGAAGTGCGCCTAACAAAGCGCCACTTAGTGCCTCAGCTCGATTAGCCCCGATCCCCAGCCCATTGGCCCACGGCCCATTAGAACTTATGAGAGATTAATTCAAATAAAACACTTCTCGGCTTGTCGTTGGCAAGCCTCGAACAATGGACCTTTTGAAATACCAAAACTTTAACTTTTCACTAGGATACAAAGTATTTATGAAAAATACTTGTAGTTAATATATATATATATATAGTTTGAAAACTCATTTTGGAAAGCTATTTTTGACCAAAAAATCTAACAATCCCCCATAAGTTTTTAAACTAGTGTCGTGTTATGGTGCCGTCGTTTCAATCGTTGTGCATAAGGTAGATGTCGCAAGGACTTGAATCCCTCTTAGACCAACTGAATAGAAGATAGATGCATGGTGTCGCAGGGATTTGAACCAGCACATGTCTAAATCCAACGATCACACACGATCAAACTCATCTGTGATAGTTTTTACTTTGAACCATACTTGCCTTTGCCTTTGCACATTTATGGCCCTATGCTAGTCCTGGTTTGTGCTAGGGCTCTAGGTATCTTTCCACAAGATACCATAGGAGACAGCCAAATCTCCATCCAGACATAGGTGAGTTCTTTAGGCATGTTTCCTATCAAACATCTCGCATCCGAAATGCTTTGAACTCATTAAGGCTTAAGAGCTATCCTCTCTCATGATAGGATTCTAGGTGAGTCCTTTAGGCGTGTTTCCTGTCTAACACTCCGTATCCGAAATGCTTTGGACCCATTAAGGCTTAACAACCAGCCCCTTTACATGATAGGATTATCGGTGAGTCCTTTAGGTATGTTACCTATCCAACATCCGCATCCGAAATGCTTTGGACCCATTAAGGCTTAACAGCCAACCTCTTTACATAATAGGATTTCACTTGTAAATCTTACCTGACTTTTGAACCAATCATCTTGTCATTAGTAGCGTAAGCTTTGAACTAATAACTTGATAAAATGGTAAGTATTTGTAAGACTCACCAAACTTTACAAATCTTACTTGACTTTTGAACCAGTTATCTTTATTATTAGTAGCATAAGCTTTGCACTAATAATTGGATGAACATGGTAAGTATTTATAAGACTCACAAAACTTTAAGACCCATTGTAGCAGACGTCCTTTCGACTATGTCCTTTTTCAGACCTTTAGTCAAAGGATTAGCCACATTCTCAGAAGATCAAACGTCAATCACTAAGATGACTCATTGGCAAATGAGTTCTCTCAAATAGCCATGCTTCAGACGAATGGTCCGTTTCTTTTTATTGAACAACGAGTTCGCTACCACAGCACCCGTTGCCTGATTATCACAATAGATTGTAATTACGCATTGTAATTCTGTCAATGGAAGGTCTCGAAGAATACAACTGAGCCACTCAGCTTCATCTCCTGCAGCATAGAGTGCGAAGAACTCAGATTCCATCGATGACTGTGCAATCATAGTTTGCTTCTTAGATTTTCACGAGACGGCAGCTCCTTCCATGGTGAAGATAAAACCTCCAGTAGATCTGCACTCATCTGGTTCTGAGCACCAGCTCGCATCTGAATAACCTTCGATTACAGCCGGATATCCAGTGTAGAATATGCCCAGACCTGTAGTTCCTTTTAAGTATCTCATCAATCTCTGGACAACATCCCAATGAAGCTTTCCAGGATTGCTTGTGAACCTACTAAGTATTCCTACAGCAAATGCTATATCTGGCCTCGTGCAGCTCATCGCGTACATAAGACTTCTAATTATCTTTGAGTACCTTAGCTGCTCTACTGGTCTTCCAGTATTCGGTCGAAGCTTCTTGTTATAATCATACGGCACTGACAGTTCTGATAGGTCGTAGTAGCCATACTTCCTTAGCATGCTCTCGACATAATGAGATTAGGACAATCCAATACCCTCTTCAAAGTATATGATTTTGATTCTGAGAATCACGTCCACATTTCCAAGGTCCTTCATGCTGAACTGAGCTGATAGAAATTTCTTGATAGATGTTACTATCTCCAAATCACTCCCGATGATGAGCATATCATCCACATAGAGACAGATAACCACCATCTTCCCTTCAACGACCTTAATGTATAGGCACTTATCAGACTCACTGACTTGATACCCATTATTGCGAACAACCCCATCGAACTTCTCATGCCAGAGTTTCGGTGCCTGCTTAAGTCCGTATAGAGACTTAATAAGTTTACAAACTTTACCAGCTGGAGCATCAAGTCCTTCTGGTTTCTCCATGTAGATCTCTTCTGTGAGGTCTCCATTGAGAAAGACAGTCTTCACATCCATCTGATTTATGACGAACCTTTTTATCGCCACCAATGAGATAAGCACTCTGATGGTAGTGATCCTACAAACTGGTGCATAGATGTCAAAGATATCTATTCCTTCTCTCTGAGAGAATCCTTTTACCACCAGTCTTGCTTTATACTTCTTAATAGTACCATCAGGACGAAGCTTCTTCTTGAAGATCCACTTGCAATTGATAGGCCTATCACCTTCAGGTACATCCACCAGCTCTCACGTGTGATTTTGGATCAATGAATCCATCTCATCATCTATAGCTTCTTTCCACAGAAGAACGTCTGTTGACTGCATTGCTTCTTGGAAAATCTGTGGGTCTCCTTCTATATTATAGGTGATGAAATCATCTCCAAAATCTTTCTATCTTCTAACACGCTTGGAAGATGGTTCAGTAACTCCTTCATCACTGACATTTTTAGTTTCTCGCAAAACTGGCTCCTTTGGTGCGTCTGAAGTACTAGCATTCTCTGCTATATCTATGAGCAATAAACCTTTATCTTTGATAAACTTATCCTCAAATAATTCTGCATCCCGAGCTTTAATGATGGAGTTGGTTCCAAGATCAAGGAACCTGCAAGCATCACTATCTTCAGCAAAGCTAAGAAACACACATCTGTTTGTCTTTGGTCCGAGCTTAGGCCTTCTGATATCTGAAACTCGAACATATGCGAGACACCCCCACACTTTGAGACTATCCAAAGGATCTGGATATCCCAACCATAACTAATGAGGAGTACTATCAGTTTTGGAATAGGGTTCTCTGTTCAGAATCCAGTTTGCCATCAGTAAAGCCTCTCCCCAATAGCATTGTTTGTGGAAAATTTAATGTAAAAGAAATAATGAAAGAAAAATTGATTTGTTTCTCTCAAAATCGATTACAATTTGGATTCCGATTATAAAAGAGATGAGAATGAATTTGATTCTCCCTTTTGTTTAAAACTGAGTTCTTCTTGGTAGCGATGGAGTGCCTCATTCGAATGCTTGCGTCGAATTCGCTCTCCGTTGACGATCCAATCGTACTATCTCACGAGAACGATTGACTTGTATGATGAATCCGGTTTAGAACTCTTAACAAGTTTAATAAACTCAGAACAAGTTGAAAACTCCGAAAGGAGTTGTTGAAAACCGAATGATCGATTAGTATAATTAGCTTGCGTTGCAAGTCTAATTAAGAACTCTTAACGAGTTTAAGAACTCAAAACGAGTTGAAACTCTGTAACAGAGTTGTTAGAACCAAAAATTCGGTTAATAGCCGAGTAGACCTGCTGTTGGTGAAGAGATTCTCCGAGATTTTATTAACTGACTGCTGATCAGTTCCTTGATCTTCAGAAAACTTGCCCTCTCAGCTCAACTTCAGGTGGTTTTGATCCAAATCTCCAACCTTATGCGGTTTTGATGCTAAAAACCGATCCTCCTTCTTGGTGGTTTGATCTCTCCCAAAGATTCTAGCCCCGTAAGATGTTGAAGAGAACTTGTTTGAATAAGTTTGAAACTTTAGCCGAGTTAAGAAACTATTTGGAAGAGTTGAAAAGAACTTGGTAAACAAGTTTTAAAACTCTGATCGAGTTAGGGGAACTCTAAAAAGATTTGATGATAATAAAGAAAGTTTAATCATTTCAAAAGAGTAGTTGATCTCTTTCTCTCTTTGGCCAATCTCAAAAAAGCTCCGCCAGTCTTCTATAGGAAATTTTATAAGAGAGATCCTTTAGGCTTAATTTATACTAGCGTAACACAGAAACAAAAGCAAATTTTTTCTTTTATTATCACTCAATAGGTACATTTTTTTTAGAGGAGTGTTAGAGGCACACCTCTAAACCACAATCCCAACCACAACCCTCTCTCTCTATAGTGTTTTCTACATTTTTTTAATCAAACATGTGGGTCCCAACAAACACTATAGAGAGAGAGGGTTGTGGTTGGGATTGTGGTTTAGAGGTGTGCCTCTAACATTTCTATTTTTTTTTATTCCTTCCCAATCACATCTCACTCGCCATTCTTGAACCTGCTGCACAAATAATAGAAAAAGAAAAAACTATAATTAGTTGTTGTTACGAAGACATTTCTTTAAAATTTTGAATAAATGTTCATCTTAGAGGGTGTTTGGTTGCATTGTTTTTGAGAAATGTTTTCTCAAAAAGTACAAACAATGACATTTCTGTAATTAAGAGTTTTCTATAGATTTCCACAAACTGTGTTTGGCTCAAAAGAGATTTACAGAAATGTTTTCTGTAAAGTATAGAAAAGTACCAAAATTTATAGAAATTGATTTCCTTCTAAAATGGGTGGAAATCTCTTAGAAATCTGACGCATTCATTATTTAAATAATAAAACTCATTAACACTTTTCTATAAAGTTCTCACTTTTCTATAAAGTTCTCACTTTTCTATAAAGTTGGGGGTATTTGGTTACATTTCTATAAATTATAGGAAATGTTGCTATTTTCCCAAAAGTTATGAGTAATTTTCTTGTTTTGAACCAAACAAGCACAATACAAAAATAAGAAAATTTGTACTTTTTAACTTCTCAAAACTTTTACTATAATTTTTTTAAGAAATACAAGGAAATCAAATTTTGGATGGAAAAGATTTCCTATAATTTATAGAAATGTAACCAAACACCCCCTTAAACGCTATCCTTAAGCATGCATATGCAGGCCGGAAGATGAAGTAGATAATCCCAAACTAATATAAATAAATAAAACATTTTAAATAACAAATATTTTACTACCAATAATCTGTGTATAGATGAGCAGAAAAATAAAAATGAAAAATAATAATAATATCTGTGCATAGGTACGCAACTAGCAAATTCCTCCAGGATTACACAAACAGGTAATGGTTAAAATTCGAATCATACCTCTTTATTATTATATAATGTTTGATAACGGGAATAAGCAAGTCGTCATCATTTACTGTCTTCCTTACAAGATTAACCATCTGACGACGAGTGATTTTTCACCCCTAAATCACACAGATCCACGTTAACGACAAGGCAAACTTAAATAATAGAAAAGCTTGCAAATTATTTTTCTTACCTTTAAGTCCTTCTCGATGGAGCATATTTAATTTATCGAGTGAGAGAGCGTGAGATAATTTGGCTGTTTTGAAGTTGGAATATATAAAAGGTGAAGTCGGCCCACTAGAACTGGGTTGGACTTTCTTCACGAATTGCTTTTTCCATTTTCTTATTTCCAGCTCCGGCCATACTAATTCCTATGTTTCATTGATAAAATATTAGAATAACAACAATAATTTAGGTATGCAGAAACCCAATTTCCCAAAAAGTCCTCAAAATTCAATTTCATTTAACTAATCTAAAGATATTAGAAGAGTACCCTAGAAAAACTTTTGCAAGTAATAGAAGATGAGCATCTCAGGAAAGTTCATTCCTCATCTTTAATTTCTTTGTCTTTCTTGAATCTTCTCGTGATAGCAATAGAGGATGTGGACATGTATTTATAGTGTGGAATTGAGATCCTGACATATATGCTAACAATACAAAATTACTCAAGTTTTAAGGTCAAGTCTGGGAGGACTAATGTGATCACACAAGCTCATATACAGAATTCGTGTATCCGCGTCAAATGTGGACATGTATTACTAAAACAAGTATGGGATTAGAACTAATTTGAGTCTAAATTACATATCCGAGTTGTTATGACAATAAACCACCAATGTTAAAACCACATATCTCGATCCTCGTCTAATGAAATATAATCAGAGTCCAGACAACCCGAGCAGTTTTCGTAGCTGACCCATTAGGCCGACAACTTGCGTGGCCGACTAAAAAGGCGGTACTTGTTGGCTTACCCACTAGGTCGACCTTATAAGTACTCGCACTTGGCCTACCATTTCAGACTGACAACTTGCATAGCCGACTAAAAACACGGTGTTTGTCGGTTTTCAACCATATGACTAAAGAGGCGGTAGTTTTTTCTAACCCCTCGCTAACAACCGATTATCCTCGTATTAACTGCTCTTACAAAGTCATTATTGCTCTAGCTCCCATAGTCTTTATGACTCATCAGACCCAGTCAGCTCCAAACACCTACTGTTATCCCCACATTAAATAGCTGGATGACTCACCCTCTTCAGCGACCGACACCTGTAAGATATCTGCTGACTCAACTGCTTATCTGGACTCGATCAGAGTTACCTTTGTGCCCTTCCAACCTATTATAAAAGGGAACTACACTAGATGGGGTAACCTCTCTGGTTTTCTTCCAGGCAACTCTGAACCCTTTTTACTTTATATTTCTCCATTCAAGATTAGTTATTGATTTGATCATCAAAGGGATAACCCGAAAACCCAACTCCGCCCTCTCATGAGCTTTTTATTATGCAGGACATGACATCGGTCTCTAGAACCAATCATTTGAAGAAGCTTGAGAACCCTACTACAACTTTAATCCATACAAAAACCCCCTGTTTGGTAATTGGCATCAATACGAGTCTAAGGTGCTAGACACATATCAGGACCAATTTCGATACACATGCACAAGTTCCCTTTGTTATAACAATGGCCTTCCCGATGATGATGGAGGGACTATAGTACCTAACCCTTTTAGCAGTTAGGAGGACTCTAGTTGTGAGATGCAGATCTAGTTATAGTTGTTACGATTTTAGTTTCTGGGAAACAGAGTTTATTTATTTTCTTCTAGCTCTTGGTTGGGCGTTATCAGCATGCTTGCCACATTTTAACGCGAGACTCTAATTTTTTTTGTTTGTAACTTTTTAATGCATCAGCGAAGTAATAAATCACAGAACCCACCAAGGGGTTCTTTTAGAACCCACAAAGAGCGATCTCTGTATTTACGAAGAGCTTTGAATCCACAAATAATAATAATAATAATAATAAGAGAAATTTATTGATAACTTATCATTCTAGGGTTACGTGACTCTTCTTAAATAGAAAAATAAAACAGACTTCTAATAAGACTAGAAATATAAAAAAATAAAAAATATCAAATCCTACCCTAAAAAAACTTTTTATGATATATGAAACAAATTAGTTCAATGTCAATCAAAATTAAATTTATGTCCTAGTCTAAACAGATTTCAACTTTATTATTAAAAATAAAGTAAATATTAATTATTTTTGGATTTCTGCTAATAACTGATGATACTGATGAGATTTTAGAAATCTAACAATTCGGTGGGCTTCATCTCGTCGAGGTAAGTAATTTACATATATAATATGTCCAAATCTGCCTTCTGGATTAGAAGATATGATCGTTTCTTTCCAAAAAACAATAATATATATGTATGCGCATTTAGATTGTGATTGTTAGGATCCTCCATAATATTGTCTGTTAAGCGTCCTACATTAGTCTCCCCTTATTGAAAGAAGCTCGATCCCGAGCTTATGTTTGTTTGAATAGTAGCTTCATCGATAAATAATTTTCTTCTTTTGCAATGATCAGCATTTGTCCCGTACTTAGCATTGATTTTCTCCATTTATTGTTTTACCTAGGTCTGTCTATTTGGACCCAAGGCCTAGGCCCAGGCATGACCCAAAAATCCGGGCCGATCTAAGCTCCGGGCCCGGGCCAGGGCTGCTTCGTCGGTGCCCGCACCGGGCCCGGCTTGGCCAGCAAAAGGGCTGGGTCAGGGTCCGGACATGGCGAGGAAATCGACCCGGCCACAACAATCACGAATGTGACCGTTGGCCGGGCAGCCCGGC